ACCTTACTCAATTTGCTAATATTTTATGGTTTTTTATCAGTATTCTTCAAGGATACTGGTTTATAATTTTCTTTGAATGTCTTTTCCTGGTTTTGGTAACAGTGTAACATTCCCCTCATAAAATGAATTGGAAAGTGCTACCCAGTCTACTGTTTGTTTTTCCCCCCCACTGTTTTTTTTAAGAGTTAGTGTAATATTCTCATTACCTCTTAAATGTTTGATAGAATTTACCTTGAAGTCTTTTGAGCCTGGAAAATCTTTGTGGGAACTTTTTAAATTGCAAATTCAATATCTTTAATAGTTGAGTTTTCAGGTTTTTTTCTTCTGGTAACATGTTTTTTAAGTGAATATTTGTTTCATCTACATTGTATAATTTATTGCCTTTAATTTGTTTATAATCTTGTTATCTATTTAATATCTGTAGGATCTCAGAGTGGGCATATATGACATCCCTCTTAATTTCTTAATCCATCTAACTAGAGGTTTTTAAATTTTATTGATACTTTCAAGGATTTGGCTTCAGGTTTCATTGATTTTTCCCTTTTTCTTATTCATTTTCTATTTCACTGATTTTTGCTTTTATCTTTACTATTTCCTTCTACTTGCTTTAGGTTTAATTTACTCTTTTTTAAAGCTCAAGATAAAAGTTTAAATTATTGATGTTTCTTGTTTTCTAATATAAGCATTTAAACCTACAAGTTTCTCTCTTAGCCTGTTTTAATTGCATCTTCAAATTTTGATCATTTTTATTTAGTTGAAAATAGTTCATGAAAATTTTCTTTTCAATTATTCTTTGGCCCAAGATTGGTTACTTGGAAAAGGATAGTTTAATGTCCAAACGTTTGGGGCTTGTCTAGATGTGTTATTTTTATTGATATCTAATTTAGTTCAGTTGTGGTCAGAGAACATACTTTGTATGATTTGTCTTTAATCCATCAAGATTTGTTTACGTTCTGTCTTGGTGTATAGTCCATTTGCTCTTGAAAAATGTATGTGTTATGAAATTATTGAAAATTTTGGTCTATAAATATCAAATGAGTTAGGTGGTTGTCAGTATTCTAGAGTTTCTAAATCTTTACAGATTTTTTTCCCATTTTGGTCTAGTTCTTTCAGTTCCTGACAAACATTAACTGTGATTTTGGACTTTTTAAAATCTTATTCCAACTTTTGTCAATTTTTGCTTCATGTGTTTTGAAACTCTTATTTAAGTACATATACATTTGTAATTGTTAGATTTTCCTGATGTATTTACTCTTTTATCATTATGAAGTGTCCCTTTCTTGTCTGTAGTAGTAATATTCATCAACTTGAAATCTGTTTTGTCTACTTTTACTATAGCCACATCAGCTCTTCCATATTTAGTGTTTGAATATCTTTTTCCATCCTTTTACTTTCAGCATATTTGTGTCTATGGTATTTAAAATATGTCTCTTGTAGATAGAATATATTTGTCTTGCTTTTTTATACATTCTAATAATCTTGGCCTTTTTACTGGAGAGTTTAGTCCATTCATATTAATACAATTAAAGGTATAGTTAGATTTACGGCAGCCATTTTGTTATTTGTTTTCTGATTGCCTAACCTGTTGTGTTTGTGTGTTTATTTTTATCCTTTTACTTATATTTTAGGGAAATTTTAGGTTCACAGCAAAATTGACTAGAAAGTACAGAGTATTTCCATTTACCCCCTACTCCTACATATTCGTAGCCTCTCCCATACCAACATCTCGCCTCAGAGTGGTACATTTCTTACAATCAATAAATCTACATTGACACATCATTATCACCCAAAGTCTGTAGTTTCCATTAGGGTTCACTCTTGATATTGTTTATTCTGTGGATTTTGACAAATATGACATGTATCCACCATTATAGAATTACACAGAATAGTTTCACTGCCCTAAAAATCCTCCCTACTCCACCTTTCATCCCTCCCTCTCCCCTAATCTTTGGCAGTGGCAACCACTGATCTTTTTACTATCTCTATAGTTTTGCCTTTTCCAGAATGTCGTATAGTTGAAATCATACAGTCTGTAGCCTTTTCAGATTGGTTTCTTATAGTTAGAAATATGCATTTAAGGTTCCTCCTAACCTGTTTATGTTCATCTGTTCCTACGTCTTCTTGTATTTTATGTCAGTCAAATATATTTTAATAATTCACTTTGATTCCTGTGTTGCCTTTTTAGTTATATCTGTTTGCATTGTGTTTTTTTTTTTTTGGTTGCTTTAGGGATTGCAATATGCACCTTTAACTTATTATGATTTACTTAGAGATGATACTGAATTACTTAAGGTAAAATACCTCAATCTTGCAACATTATATTTCTACTTACTGACCTCTCCATCTTCTGTTCTTTTGTTTGCCATGTATGTGATATTTATGCTTGTAATAAATGGTGCTAGAATGCTTATTCTAAGCGAAGAGTCTACAACTCACAGGCCAAATCCAACCTGCTGCCTGCTTTTGTACAGATTATGAGTTAGGAACGGTTTTTATAGTTCAAATGTTTGAAAAAAATGCAAAAGCAAAATATTCCTGACCTATGAAAGTTTTATGAAATTCACATTTTAGTGTCCATGCATGCAGTTTTATAGAAACAGAACTTTGGTCATTCATTTTGCATACTGCTGTGGTTGCTTTCGTGCTAAAACAACATAAAATGTTGACCAACCCCTGCCTGAAACAGTGGTGTCTTTTAAAGAAGGAAGGAAATGAGTATTTATGGTCTTTTATATGTAACTTTTCTCATCCTCTTCATTCCTTCCTAAAGACCTTAGTTATCATCTGATGTCATTTGTACATTCAGCCTGAAGCAATTCCTTTACTGTTTTTGATGGTCAGTTTGATAGTGGTGAATTCTCTCAGATTTTATCTGAGAATAGCTTTATGTTGCCTTTGTTTGTAATAGATAATTTTGTTGAATATAGAATTCTTGGTTGACGTTATCTTTGGCTTTTAGCTATTTGATTAGGATTTTCCAAGTGTGGTTTCTTTGGTTTTTATCCTTTTGGGGTTCATTAAGCTTTTTCAGTATGTAAGTTAAAGTTTTTAGTAACTGTAAATGTGTTGGGCCATTATTTCCTTAAAAGTTTTTCAGACCCTTTCTTTTTCTCTCTTTCAGGGATTCCAATTACATCTGTATTGGATTACTTTGAAATTGACCCACGGATCTGTGGGTGAATAGATCTGTGTAATTCTATTAGTTTTTTCTTATTCTTTTTTCTTTCTGTTCAGATTGCTTAATTTCTGTAGATCTATTTACGAAGTTACTGGTTCTTCCTTTTTCTATTTCTGGTCTGCTGTTGAGCCTATTTAGTGAATTTTCCATTGCAGTTCTTGTACTTTTCAGGTCTAGAATTTTCATTTGGTGCTATTTGCATAGTTTACATTTTGAGGTCCCATGCCAAGTTTTCTGTTACTTTTTTGAACACATTTAGAATATTTGAAGGCTTTTCTGACAAAATCCAACATCAGGACCCACTAGGATTTAGTTTCCATGATTGACATTTTCTTATAATGGGTCATATTCGCTCTCCTTTTTTGTTTTGTTTGTAGGCCTAGTAATTTTTGCTAGAAACCTAGACATCATGAATAATATAGTAATCTGAATTCTTTTATGTCTGTTTTTCAGAGGATTATTGGTTTTTTTGTTCTAGTAGGCAATTAACTTGCTTGGAATCAAACTTCACACTCTGCCCTCTGTCCCCCCCCCTCAAGTGTGAGGCAGCTGACATATCTGCTTGGTTTTTTAAGCTTCCAGCTGCTGCTGTTTGCCCTGGCCCCCAAGGGGAGGTGGGTTCTCCTTGTCTTTAAGTACTTTAACTCTCAGTCAAGGAATTGGTGCGTGTTTATACTTGATTTTGGGGGCTAATTTTCTTTAGTTCTCTTTCATCCAGAACTTCATCCCTTATACTTCCTGCTGCTTTTTCAGCCCCAACTTCTAACACATTGATCCAGTAAGCCTTCAATTTTCTTCTGCTTGAGCTGTGAGAAGGTTGTGGAATGCTGTTAATCAAAAATGCAGAAATCTCAGAATCTCACTAGGTGCACTTTTGTTTTTCAAGACTCTTTTCTGGTATCTTTCTGTCTGCTTTTTGCTAAGCCCTCTGTGATCTCACCAACAGTTGCTTAGTTTAACTATCAACCTGGAGTTCTGGCAGAGTTTATACTCAGATCCTTTCTGTAGTTCTCTCACTTCCAGAATTTATCCCTGAATCTCCAGCTCATCTGCCAGTCCTAAATTCTGTCCACCACCACCTTTGAGGAAGTAATCCATGGGGTTTTGGGTACCTTCATGCAAAAAACCAAAAACTTAACAATTCTTACCCATTGCAGTTTCTGTCCCTTAAGGATAAACTCTCCTCCAGTTTCTGCTTGCTTTGATTGCTTTCCAGTGTCTTCTGTTAGTTGTTTGTTATATAGTGTGTTCAGATTTCATAATTATTATCTGAGGGATTGTTTTCCTGACCAGTTCACTCTATTTTTGCTGGATGCCGAAACTCTCTCCCATGCATTTTATAGTCTTCCTGTATAAACACATTGATCTCAAAGGGGAAAAATTTGCCTCCTCAGTGAAGCCTGAGAAATTTTTCTGCCCTGTGACACACTGCATCCTGTAAATACTTGTGTGGTACCTGTAACACCTTCTTGCAGGTTTGTGTTTACACATACTTTCTTGAAGGTATGTCTTAACATGCTTTGAGGCTGTAGCTACTCATGAGCAGGGACAGTGTTTTGTATGTCTTGGCACCAGTAAACGAATACAGTTTTGGGTACAAAGTGACTTCACAGTAAATACTTTTAGAATATGAGTTATTAAGTAAATTTGTTGTTCCGTACGTCTACCTTGATTTTTGTTTTCGTTGCAATGTAAATCACAAAACAAGAAAAATGATAGGTTTTCTTTACAACTTTTCATATGACTGCCACAAAGGAATAGGATTAAAACTAGTCTCCAGTATCTCATCACCTTGTTCTGATCACAGTCCAATCCATTTCAGGGATCCGTGTCATTCAAGGATGTGACTGTGGACTTCTCTCGGGAGGAGTGGCAGCACCTGGATCCTGCTCAGAAGACTCTATACATGGATGTGATGTTGGAAAACTATTGCCACCTTGTTTCTGTGGGTGAGAAAACTCTCTGTGAAACTTTAGTAGCATGCATTTCCTTTCAAAGTGCCTAAAGAATGTGTGATCTTGAATTTTAGGGATAAGAGGTGATGAATTCTTTTTGGTTATCAGGAAGGATGAATATGTCTTCACTTGCCCACTGCTAGGTGTTAAGTTTACTGTTACACAAAGGAGGAGTATCTTAAATTGTATTACTGAACATGCACCTTACTAATTTTTCAAATGTACTGAAGCCTAAGCAACTTAATCCAAATCTTCCCTTATCAGGGTGTCACATGACCAAGCCTGAGGTGATCCTCAAGTTGGAACGAGGAGAAGAGCCATGGACATCATTTACAGGTCATACCTGCTTAGGTGAGTTTCTGACTCTCAAGCACATGAAATCTAGTGGAAAATAACTTTTAACTTTTAAAGTGGTCATGTGGTGAATGGCACCTTTGAGATATTTTGGGAGTATTTTTTAAAACCTTTGAAAAGACCTTTGTGCCTGCAAAACTTAAGTCAAACTTTCAAATATTACCCTTCCCATGTAATGCTTTTTTCCTGGGGCTGGCCCCGTGGCCAAGTGGTTAAGTTCGTGCACTCCACTGCAGGCAGCCCAGTGTTTCATTGGTTCGAATCCTGGGCGCAGACATGGCACTGCTCATCAGACCACGCTGAGGCAGCGTCCCACATGCCACAACTAGAAGGACCCACAACGAAGAATATACAACTATGTACCGGGGGGCTTTGGGGAGAAAAAGGAAAAAAATAAAGTAAAATCTTATTTTTTTCCTGAGTTTTCTTAATGTTATCAAAGGTAGTTCCCACTCTTAACTTAATCAAAATGTACTATAAGCCTTCCTTCTTTTAGATCTTTTTTCTTGATTTGTGTCTTTTTCTAGCATTCTCAGTCCTTTATCTCCTTGGATAGATTTCTTTCAGGCATTCTTAAGTCTATCTTTAAAAAAGAGAAAATTTTTGGTTAATGTTTCTCTTCCTAGTTGCTTTCTATTTTCTTTCTTTCTCTTTGTTTTATGTTACCTCAGATTTGTTTTCTGTGCTAAGTCTAAGTTCCCATTCTTAACTACAAATCTAGTCATTAATTTTAAAACTTGCTTGTCTTGGCCCAGACTGATAATTCCACAGTTACCATTTTCTTCCATTAAACTTTCATGGTTCATTTTGTATGGCTGATCATTCCTGAAATCTGCTGTTGGTTTGGGTAAAACACTAACTCGCTCTTTTCCTGATTCCCTGAGTGATTACTGTTTCCAGCTTGGTCTGTTTTCTTCAGCACTGTGGCCATATTGCCTGGAACAAAGCCTGCACATAATAGTCAACACATTTTTTTTTTAATGAATATTTTTTCACTGGACTCTCACTCTTATTTCTCTGATTTGTCCTCAAGGGATCTGCTCTTAAATTATAGTAATCTCATCCATTCTCAGCACTTAAGGTCTTTGTTTTATGTAGATGCCTCTGACACTGGCATATTCAGCCCATTTTCCCCACCTTTAATCCTTTAGGAATTCTACACTCTAATGTCTCACCTATTTTGTGACAATATGTTGGAAATGAAAATTACTAACTTTCCTAGCTCTTAAATTCTTTCCCATTATCTATTTCCAAATTATTTTTTCTTGCCGTGATATCAGCTTGATTCTTCTGTCTCTGTCATCATCTCGTGTGGATCTCTTCGCAATTTGTATTGTTTATCAGCCTGTGAAACATAGTTTACATCCTCTCATATTTTTATTTCTCACATCATACAAAATGACAGCTATCTTATTTCATATCTTGACTACTGTAATAACAATTTGGCTTTGCTAGAATTTGTCCTAATTCTTTCTCTTTATATTGTTACTTTCCTGACATGATATATCATCATTTGTTCCCTAATATATGAAATTGAAATTCTTCTTCATTCAAGGACTACCATAATAAGCCCTCATCTGGGCTTTTTGAGTTTATTTCTCTCTCTCTTTGGAAAACTCTTGCTAATTTCCACTTTGTATAGTCTCCTAATGTTCTCCATACATGTAGGATTTGTCATGATATCTATATTTGTCATTGTGTTGTGTTCTGACTGCCATATACTGTATATCTTTTAAGTTAAGTCTTGAGATTTCTTCTCCATGAACTATTCTTTGACTATTCCACATCATATCCACCTTTTCTTTTTCTGAATTCCCATGCTGCTTGCTAATTACAGCACATACAATTCTTGGATATGATTATATAATTTGATACATGATTATGCATGGTTTATGCTTAAGGATTCTTTCTTCCAAAGACAAGAGACAAGATCCTCTGTTTGAATCTTCTTTGCTTATTATATAATATGTTAGATATTCAGTAGTTGCTTCATTAACTGTTTGTGGGGCTAAGGGAGATATCTTTTTCCTCCATTCAGAAAGCATATACTGGTAAGTTCCTTTCAGATGTACCTGCTCAGGCCATGGCCCTATACATTGTGATGGAATGGGTGAATTCTACCAAATACTACCTATCTGTGATACATGGTGTTAATGTAAACTCAGAAGTGTTCAAAGGAGATAACCGATAAAGTATTCCTTTCAATGAGAGAGGATTACTATCAAAGTCTGCATTTTCACAAAATATTTATGACACAGTGTAAGCTTGTAAAAAGATTTGTTAAAATGATTTTTCTAGACCACAGTTATTTTCATGTTATAAAGGAATAGTGCTTAAGGTGATGGGAAATATGTCAAGGGCTTTTGAGATCATAAAACGGTACCCTTTTCTTGAAGATTCTCTAAATATGAGTAGAAATAAGACTGGAAGACAAGCCAACTGACTAAAAGAACATGAGCAAAAAGCATGTGATTAGGAATAAGTGAGGTATTTATAGGGCAATCAATCAGTCAGTCAAACTTGTTACAGGTGAGATTTGTCAGATATGTGGACAACCCTGAAAACTTGTCTGAAGACAAAAAGTGAATCTAGGTGATGTAAAGTTTTGTTTACAAGAGAAATTCCTTGTATGTTAATATTGGAGGCAATGGAGTCAAGGAAAATATCAATTTTTGAGCCTAGATTTAACATTGTTCCACTAGATGTGGGTGATTACAAAGTAAGAGAAGTCAGATATAGTTAAAAATTTATAAGAGAAATGAAGGTCAAGGTTAATGATGATTTAGAACTAGAGTGAACAGTCTACTCTTTCTAGTCCACCATATAGAAAACTGGAGTTAAGAAATGTTATCATATTGGGGTAAGACTTGAACCAGTTTTTCTTTAAACCTAAACAAATAAGCCAGCAATTAAAACAAGGAACAGTTATAGTTGATGGTCATGAGAGTTTTGTTATTGAACAATTCTGAAAGAATTGATAGTAACAGCGATCTGAATACACCAGTGAATATACCCCTAGTCAGTTTTAAAGTTCCTGTTGGAGATGTTTTCCTAGTTCTTCCCTCACAAGAGAAAATGATTCCCAGCCATATGGAGGATTAGAACCTAGACTGTTGGATTGTTTTTCTTAACACTAGGAAATTAATTGAAGCATAGAAAGATTAATTAGCCATTGATGGCTACATAGTAGGGAGTGGTGAAACAACTGGAAGTCTTTCACCTCGCAATCAAGGGATGAGTGTATATAAGTATAGGCACTGATCTGTGTGCTCCAAAAGTAGTCGTTCCTCTAATATTTCCCCTGAACAAGCTTTTTTACTAATCTTTCTTGTCTATCCTACTTAAAGCTTAATGCCCTGGATAGGTTCACTTCGTCACCTCTGAATCCACCTATCCAGGCATCAGTCCCTCTGCCACCAGTCTTTGTCTTCTCACTGCTTCTTTTTCATTTTGCTTTCTGCATGAAGTTCTGGTGCAAAGTGCAAAAGTTACTAGCATCCATTGCTTATTTTTTCATCCTTTTCCGCACTGAAGCATAGTTTTTATTTAGGTTCTTTGTCTTTTCCCAGGCTTGGAGGCATTTGTCTTGGGTCTTTTTTGGCCTCATATGCTAGACCCTAGTACAATTACTTTCCCTAGCAAATGTGTGCAGATTCACAAATTGTTATTAATTATATTCTTTTCTAGAAGAAAATTGGAAAGCTGAAGACTTTTTAGTGAAATTCAAGGAACATCAAGATAAGTATTCTAGATCAGTTGTATTCATCAACCAGAAAAAGCTGATTAAGGAAAACAGTAATGCACATGAGAAGACATTTACTATAAGCAAAAACTCTGTTAATTCAAAAAATCTACCTCCTGAATATGATACTCATGGGAAGATTTTTAAAAATGTTTCAGAATTAATCATCAGTAATCTAAGTCCTTCAAGAAAGAGACTTAGTGAGTATAATGGATATGGGAAATCACTCCTCAGTAGTAAGCCAGAGACAGCTCACCCTGGAGTCAAATCCCATAATCAGCATGGCAGGGTTGTCAGTCATAATGAAGTGCTTATGCAGTATCATAAGATGGAAACTCCAGCACAGTCATTTGGGTGTAATGACTGTGAGAAATCTTTCCTTAAAAAAGGAGACTTAATTACACCTAATAGAGCTTACAGAAGGGAAAACCCATCTGAATATAATAAAAGGAGAAGAGCAACAAATATTGAAAAAAAACATACATGCACTGAATGTGGGAAGTCCTTCTGCAGGAAGTCAGTATTGATTCTACATCAGGGAATTCACACAGAAGAAAAACCCTATCAATGCCATCAATGTGGAAATTCATTTAGAAGAAAGTCATATCTCATTGATCATCAGAGAACTCACACAGGAGAGAAACCCTTTGTTTGTAATGAATGTGGTAAGTCCTTCCGCCTAAAGACAGCCCTCACTGATCATCAGAGAACACATACAGGGGAGAAATCATACGAATGTCCACAATGTAGGAATGCCTTCAGATTGAAGTCACACCTGATTCGTCATCAGAGAACTCATACAGGAGAGAAACCATATGAGTGTAATGACTGTGGGAAGTCCTTCCGCCAGAAGACAACACTCTCTCTCCATCAGAGAATTCATACAGGAGAGAAACCCTATATTTGTAAAGAATGTGGGAAGTCCTTTCACCAGAAGGCAAACCTTACTGTACATCAGAGAACTCATACAGGGGAAAAGCCCTATATTTGTAATGAATGTGGGAAATCCTTCTCCCAGAAGACAACCCTTGCTCTTCATGAGAAAACTCATAATGAAGAGAAACCCTACATTTGTAATGAATGTGGGAAGTCCTTCCGCCAGAAGACAACCCTCGTAGCACACCAGAGAACACATACAGGAGAAAAATCTTATGAATGTCCTCACTGTGGGAAGGCCTTTAGAATGAAGTCATACCTCATTGACCACCACAGAACTCACACAGGAGAGAAACCCTATGAATGTAATGAATGTGGGAAATCCTTCAGTCAGAAGACAAATCTCAATCTACATCAGAGAATTCATACAGGGGAGAAACCCTATATTTGTAATGAATGTGGGAAGTCCTTTCGCCAGAAAGCAACCCTCACTGTACATGAGAAAATACATACAGGGCAGAAATCCTATGAATGTCCTCAGTGTGGGAAAGCCTTTAGCAGGAAGTCATATCTTATTCATCATCAAAGAACTCATACAGGAGAGAAACCATATAAGTGTAATGAATGTGGGAAGTGCTTTCGCCAGAAGACAAATCTCATTGTACATCAGAGAACTCACACAGGGGAGAAACCCTATATTTGTAATGAGTGTGGTAAGTCCTTCAGTTATAAGAGAAACCTCATTGTCCATCAGAGAACTCACAAGGGAGAAAACTTGGAAATGCAATAAATGGTGTGATTTCTTTGTGAAGCCTTTCCAAGTTATTATAACCCTTTAGTTTTTTTTTTAAAGCATGCTTAAACATGTTCATAAGGTAACTTTAATCACAAGTGTAATGAGTTATTTATTTAAATTGCCATACCATGTAACTATCTGCTGTTTACTAGCATATAAAATGGGTATGATCATTGTTATTGAATGCTATCAGCAATGAAGCTAATTTTTTAAGTTTTCAAGTTCTGCTGACTCAGTTTATAAAAAAAATACTTCTATAATATATCCAGAGGCAAGATACAAAATGGTTATAATCATCAGTCTCCATAAGAGAAAGAAAATAGGAAGTATATTTCTCATTGCAGTCTGTAGAATAAAAAGTAGTTATTACTTCCCCAAAGATTACCACTTCTCTGGCTTAAACATCATGAAGTAGTTTTTGCATGTCTTTAAACTTTATATATATTTTATCATACATCGTGAATTCTTTTGTGTCTTGTTTCACTCAACATTTTTAAGATTCAGACATTATTGCATGTGGCAGTAGTGTATTCATTTCCATTCTGTATACTATTCCATTTTAAGAATATAATGCTATTTATCTATCCTCTTGATGGATATTTGTATTTTTTATAATTTTGTGTTGTAATAAAAATACTGCTATAAATATTCTTGTATGTGTCTTTGTGTGTGTGTATGTAATTCTGTTGAATTTATACTAAGACTGGAAATACTCAGTCCAAGGGTGTATTTAAGTTTTTTCAGCTATGGTAGAACCACCAAACCTCTCAGACCTTTCTTAGCATGAGATGATTCACTTTGGGAAGTAACAGCCCTGATTGTAATCAATGTAGAGAAAGGTCTTTAGGTCATTCAGCTGGAGAATTCCTACTGAAACAAAATCCTCATAATGTATAATCCTTATAATGTGAGAATGCTGTTAGTCATCAATACATGAATATAATAAACGCAGAAAGGCCTTTAGCTGTGGCTTAAACCTTACACAAAACCAGAGAATTCATACTGGAGGGAATCCTATAGTTGTCATGATTACAGGGGTACTTCTAGCCATAGCTTACACCTTATTCAATATCAGAGAATTCATACTAAAGAAAGGGAGATTAAGAAGGGACATAGATAAGGAAAATTTGGGAGTATAGGAGTCACAGTAGACAGAATTATGAAATATATATATATAAGTAAGCCTATGTGTAAAATAAGCTTTTTATGACTTGATTTATTTCATAAGAAATGTGGGTCTGTGAAAATCCCAAATGAAAAGTCACTGGAGATATTTTGATGTTTGAGAATTAGAAATCTGCTAGAATAATAACATCTATAGCATCTTTTCTGTGAAAATAGTAAGCTCAGCTGCAAGTTGAACAGTTACTGAAGGCCCTTCTTGGGGAGGATAACTCATAACAAATATTCACTACATACATGAAGTCGTCATATGTAATAAACATATTTAAATAAGCTGAGTTTTTTACCAGTTGAGTAGAGCTGTAAACCGGTTCTAAGTAAGCAGGAAAATGGTTGGTATCTGACAATTAAAAATGTTAAACAGGCCTTCTGGCCTATGGAAAGGGACAGTAATCGCCAGTGGATCGTAAATGGAAACCTGCTCATCAGTCCTGGTCTTGCAGATAATTTCAGAGCAAAAAAAGAGCAGTGAGTGATGAGGAAAGTCAGACATAAAAATTGAGACTTGAAAGTGGCATAAGGTAAAAGATAGAATTCCTTATCTAACTGCACAGAACTTTGTGAAATTTAGCCTTAACTAATAATTACATCCATGCTTAGAGATTTTTTCTTTTTTTTTTTCTTAGAGTGCAGGCAGGATGAGCATATTAGAATAAAATAACTACAACAGTAGGTAAGATTACATGATCAATATTCAGAACTAAGAGAACCTAGGAATTATTTTATTTGAATAAATCTGTTTTTGTAAGTGAGTAAATACTATTATATGCAAACAAAGGTGAGTAACAAAAGAATTGTACTCACGACCAAGGATGCAAGCCTACTTCTTTTTTCCTGGGTATATAGTGCATGGAGAGGTGTGGCCTAGCTGAATCTGTTTCTTCCAATCTTGACCCACCAAACATGTTGGGACTGTGAGAGTCATTCTCTTGGATATTCTGCTCGCCCTTGTTTCTGCTCTCCTAGGCATTTCCATGGCCGTCACAAAAATATAAGTCATATGGCATCCCTATATGTGCTATCCTGCCTTCTGATTGTATTATGAAGTAGCCATGATTTGCTTGTGGTATAACATTGTACACATTTGCTTGTTTTAGTTCTATACAATAGGACATAATCATGTTTTATAGGTCTTGTGTATGAGGTACTAGAAAGTATGGTGTACTGAAGGACAGTTTTTTAAATGGCTAAACTTAAAAGTCCAATTATGAACTCACAGATGGTTAGGCTGTTTTCTTACCTAAGAGAACTCACAGTATAGGAGGTTATATAAACAAGTCATAAAAGTATTTGTATAGTAATCACTGGCCATCTCTCCTTATTTGTGCTCTTAGCTATTTACCAAGATCTCCCCAATTTCCACTCTCCTATCATAATTGCTAGGGCCACAAAACTATATATCACTTACAGGAGATGGAATGGTGTGTTGCTAGAAGAGTCACATTGTTACTATATTCATTGTAATGAAAACTTTTAAACTCAAGTAGGCCAGTCCCAGACTCCTTTGGCATCCTAGGGCAAACGGCAAATATCTTAAACCTACATTTTACATTTTGTATTTCCATTATTTCCCAAATCCTATATTTAGCCCTCATGTAAATCTCTGGAATTTAACATGTATATTTTATCTCAGTTGGCTGAAGGGGTAAAGAGCAATGAAAAGACAATATGCAAATATTTGGCCACAGAAAGTTACCCTACTTGAAGTGTCCCTGCAAAAATTCAAAGTGGCAGATGAAAAGTGTTCTGTATGATTTTTCCTTTTTTTAAAAAAAAAAAATGTATTGAGTTAATGATAGGTTACAATCTTGTGAAATTTCAGTTGTACAATATTGTTTGTCAGTCATGTTGTAGGTGCAACCCTTCACCCTTTGTGCCCACCCCCCACCCCCACTTTCCCCTGGTAGCCGCTAATCTGTTCTCTTTGTCCACGTGTTTACATTCCTCATATGAGTGGAGTCATACAAAGATTGTCCTTCTCTAACTGGCTTATTTCACTTAACATAATTCCCTCAAGTTCCATCCAAGTTGTTGCAAATGGGACGATTTTTTTTTTTTTTAAGATTTTATTTTTATTTTTTCCTCCTCAAAGCCCCCCAGTACACAGTTGTATATTCTTCATTGTGGGTCCTTGTAGCTGTGGCATGTGGGACGCTGCCTCAGCGTGGTTTGATGAGCAGTGCCATGTCCACGCCCAGGATTCGAACTGACGAAACACTGGGCTGCCTGCAGCGGAGCGCGCGAACTTAACCACTCGGCCACCTGGCCAGCCCCGATTTTGTTCTTTTTTTACGGCTGAGTAGTATTCCATTGTATATATATCCCACATCTTCTTTATCCAATCCTGTGTTGATGGGCACTTAGGTTGCTTCCACGTCTTGGCTATTGTAAATAATGCTGCAATGAACATTGGGGTGCATGGGACTTTTGGAATTGCTGACTTCAAGCTCTTTGGATAGATACCCAGTAGTGGGATAGCTGGATAGTATGGTAATTCTATTTTTAATTTTTTGAGGAATCTCCATACTGTTTTCTATAGTTGCTGCACCAGTCCGCACTCCCACCATCAGTGTATGAGGGTTCCTTTTTCTCCACAACCTCTCCAACATTTGTTACTATTTGTTTCAGTTATTTTTGTCATTCTAATGGGTGTATGGTGATATCTTAGTGTAGTTTGATTTGCATTTCCCTGATGATCAGTGACGATGAACATCTTTTCATGTGCCTCTTGGCCATCCATGTATCTTCTTTGGAGAAATGTCTGTTCATGTCTCCTGCCCATTTTTTTATTGGGTTAATTTTTTGTTGTTGAGTTGTGTGAGTTCTTTATATATTATGGATATTAAGCCTTTGTCGGATGTATTACTTGCAAATATTTTTTCCCAGTTAGTGGATTTTTTTTTTGTTTCAATCCTGTTTTCATTTGCCTTGAAGAAGCTCTTTGGTCTGATGAAATCCCATTTGTTTATTCTTTCTATTGTTTCCCTTGTCTGAGAAGACGTGGTGTCTGAAAAGATCCTTTTAATACAGATGTCAAAGAGTGTACTGCGTACATTTTCTTCTAGAAGCCTTATGGTTTCAGGTCTCAGCTTTAGGTCCTTGATCCATTTTGAGTTTATTTTGGTGAATGGTGAAAAGGAATGGTCAATTTTCATTCTCTTCCATGTGGCTTTCCAGTTTTCCCAGCACCATTTGTTGAAAAGACTTTCTTTTCTCCATTGTATGCCCTCAGCTCTTTTGTCGAAGATTACCTGTCCATAGATGTGTGGTTTTATTTCTGGGCCTTCAATTCTGTTCCATTGATCTGTGTACCAGTTTTTGTACCAGTACCATGCTGTTTTGATTACTGTAGCTTTGTAGTATGTTTCGAAGTCAGGGATTGTGATGCCTACCAGCTGTGTTCTTTTTTCTCAGGATTGCTTTAGCAATTCGGAGTCTTTTGTTGCCCTATATGAATTTTAGGATTCTTTGTCCTATTTCTGTAAAGAATATCCTTGGGATTCTGATTGGGATGGGGTTGAATCTGTACATTGCTTTAGGTAGAATGGACATTTTAACTAGGTTTATTCTTCCAATCCATGTGCATGGAATGTCTTTCCATCTCTTTATGTCGTCATCCATTTCTTTCAGAAAAGCCTTGTAATTTTCATTGTATAGGTCTTTCACTTCCTTAGCTAAATTCACCCCTTGGTATTTTATTCTTTTTGTTGCAATTGTGAATGGTACTGTGTTCTTGAGTTCTTTTTCTGTTAGTTCGTTATTAGAGTATAGAAATGCTATTGATTTATGTAAATTGATTTTATACCCTGCAACTTTGCTGTAGTTGTTGATTACTTCTAAAAGTTTTCCAATGGATTCTTTGGGGTTTTCTATATATAAGATCATGTCGTCTGCAAACAGCAAGAGTTTCACTTCTTCCCTCCCTATTTGGATTCCCTTTATTCCTTTTTCTTGCCTGATTGCTCTGGCCAGGACCTTCAGTACTATGTTAAATAAGAGTGGTGATAGAGGGCATCCTTGTCTCCTTCCTGTTCTCAGGGGGATGACGCTCAGTTTCTGCCCATTGAGTCTGATGTTGGCTGTGGGTTTGTCATATATGGCCTTTATTAGGTTGAGGTAGTTCCCTTCTATCCCCATTTTGTTCAGAGTTTTTATCATAAATGGCTGTTGGATCTTGTCAAATGCTTTCTCTGCATCTATTGAGATGATCATGTTGTTTTTATTCCTCAGTTTGTTGATGTGGTGTATCACGTTGATTGATTTGCAGATGTTGAACCATCCCTGTGTCCCTGGTATGAATCCCACTTGATCATGATGTATGATCCTTTTGATGAATTGCTGTATTCGGGTTGCCAAAATTTTGTTGAGAATTTTTGCATCTATCTTCATCAGCAATATTGGCCTGTAGTTCTTTTTTATGCTGTCCGTGTCAGGCTTTGGTATCAGCGTGATGTTGGCCTCATA